GTTGTCTGAGAGTAATTCAAGAAAGGTACAGTTACCTACTGGAGAGACAAGTGTAATCACACACTTAGGGACTTCCAGCATATTAGACAACATAGTGATCAAGAATGTGCTCTTTATACCTAGGTTTAGGTATAATCTGTTATCAGTATCTAAACTGACCAAGGACTTGGGCTTATTTCTTGCCTTCTTTCCTGCCTGCTGTATATTCCAGGACATTTGCAGTGGCAAGGTGAAGGGGATTGGTAGAGTGGAGCATGGATTATATGTGCTGGATCAAAGTATCAAAATCAACACACATGAAGGATTGCCTGTTGGTCTCATTTCTTCTATATTACCTATTAATAGAATAAATGCTGCTTTATGGCATAAACGATTAGGACATGTGCCTATGGAAACTATGAAAAGAATGCATATGTTTGGAAACACAAAGCTTGTTGACTGTAATGATCCATGTTCTGTATGCCCTTTGGCAAAACAAACTCGCTTACCTTTCCCAGATAGCACTACAAAGAGTTATGCATTGGGTGATCTTATACATGCAGATGTGTGGGGACCCTTTAGAGTTCCTACTTATGATGGCAAACAATATTTCTTAACTCTTGTAGATGATTTCAGCAGATTCACATGGGTGTGCCTTATGAACTCTAAGGATGAATCAATTGTGGTACTGAAATTCTTCATTGCTTTGATTAAAACAAAGTTTTCTTCTACTGTCAAAATTCTCAGAACAGATAATGGAGGAGAATTTTTCAACAGCCGGCTCAAGGAGTTACTTGGTGCAGAGGGTATTACTCATCAAAGTGCATGTCCCTATACCCCTCAACAAAATGGGGTAGTGGAGAGAAGACATAGATACATACTAGACACTGCCAGATCCTTAAGGTTTCAAGCTAATGTACCTTTAAGGTTTTGGTGAGAGTGTGTTATGACTGCAGTGTATCTAATAAATAGAATTCCCTCTAGGATATTAGGTGGAAAATGTCCATTTGAGCTAGTGTTCAACAAGGTCCCATCATTGGATCATCTTAGGGTGTATGGGTGCCTTTGTTATGCTGCAAACTTGAAGAAGAGGGACAAGTTTTTGTCACGACCCCAAACCCGGTCGTGATGGCGCCCAACAACATTGCTAGGCAAGCCAGACCACAATCGTTCCCAGATAACCGTAAACCTCAAATGTAACAATCTAAAGGAAATATAATAACCTTAGAATAATAATAATCCAATATTTTTAATAGAATAATGCTGAGAAATACGAAATCTGATAAAACACTCCCAAAGACCTGGGGTCATGAGTCTAGAGCCTCTAAAACAATCCGAATAATAATAATAGAACGAAAAATACTCAAGTCTGGAAAAGTCTATATAAATAATATTGAAAAGGGAAGAGTAGTCAGGTCCTGCGAACGTCAAGCAGCTACCTCAACAACTCTGATGAAAATTCTGGGATAATGACTGCTCAGCTAAGCCTCCGGTGTACCTGAATCTGCACACAAGGTGCAGGGAGTAGGGGTGAGTACTACCGACTCAGTGAGTAATAAGCATATAAAATGTCTGAAGATAAGAAATCCACGAAATACCCCAAAGCAAAGCTAACACTAACAATCCTACACCTTACTACAATCTAACAGCAAACAACTTCAAATAATACAGTCAAGTAAAATGTAATGATGCAATGTAATGCACATGACCGCTACGGCGCATAGCCCGATCCATTTAACGTCGACGGCGCTCACTGGGGGTGTGTACAGACTCCGGAGGGGCTCCTTCAGCCCAAGCGCAATATAATCATATCATTTGCTGCAGCGTGCAGCCCGATCCATACTCAGTCCACAATATGCATATGAGTCACATAACAGATTCAATTAATTTCCCAATTTCCAATTTATTAAGAAGAATATACTTTAGTTATTTAACTTCAGGATAAGTGAGTTAGCGTTTCATAACAGTGATTAAACACAGGACTGAGATCAATGATTATACAAAGCATGCTATCACAATGACATTCATCCTCTAAGGATGCTACAGATCGGCACAAGGCCCCAAACACGGCAATAATCCCAGATATACTCAATACAGGGTGTGTATCAGTCGCCAATATAGAAACATTCTAGTTCGAGATGGACTAAGTCTAAATCCCCAGTCATAACTAATCTCGCACCTGCCATGGGGTGCGAGTCACGCCCTACAATAGCGTCACAATGTGATAAGCCGGGGTTTCAAACCCTCAGGCCATCATATACACCAACTACTCACCTCTAACCGGCCGTAGAATGGTCCGCAATGTCTTTTCCTTTCGTATCGACCTTCTCGCGCATCGAATCTAGTCAAAATCACAACGAATACATAAATATGGGGTAAGGAAACATAACCAATCAAAATTACTCGAAAAGTACAAAAATTCACGAAGTTGGTAAAACCCGAGCCCCTGGCCCGCTTCTCGAAAAATTCCGAAAATTACACCAACAGATTCCTCGTCTCGCCACGAGTCCGTGCATATAAAGTTTACCAAAATCGGAGCTCGTTTGACCCTTCAAATTCCATTTTTACATCATAGCTTTCCAAGCCCTAGCTTAACCCGTTTTTGATGAATTTTCTACAATTTACATGTAATTTCTACCATAAACTCGAATATTTAGGCCAAGGAACTTACCTCCCGGTGATTCTCAGTCAAAACCCTCGAATTTCCTTGTTCAAAGCTCTTGAGAACGTCAACAATGGAGGAAAAATATGAAAGGGTCGCGGATGAAATATCATTTTAAAACCCTTCTGTCACCCAGCGATTTTCGCTTCTGCGGTCCCGCTTCCGCTTATGCGGGACCGCTTCTGCGGCCACATTTCCGCTTAAGCAGTTTTCGCTTAAAAGCCCGGACTTCGCTTATGCGACGCGAAGTCCGCTTCTGCGGTTCCTTCAAGACCGCTTCTGCGGCACCTTGTCCGCTTCTGCGGACCCGCTGGTGCGAGCCAACTTTCGCATCTGCGGAATTTCCCTTAGCTGGCCACGACCGCTTCTGCGACCAAATATCCGCTTCTGCGGTCCATTTCCGCAGAAGCGGAAACACCAGATGACAGCAGATCTGACCTGCAATTACACTTCAAAACTCTCGTTTAACCACCCGAATTTACCCCGAGGCCCTCGGGACCTCAACCAAATGCACAGATATGATCTATTACTTCTTTCAAACTTGCTCGCAACATAAAAACACTATCATAAACACCAAAATCATCGAATTACCACGGATTCAAGCCTAAGTTAAACTAAAACTTCTGAAACTTGCATTTGATCTAAAACCCGACCTAAACACCTCCAAATGATCTGAAACTTTGGACGCATATCCAAAATCACCTAACGGAGCTACTGCAACTCTCTGAATTCCATTCCGACCCTCGGATCAAAATCTCACCTACCATCCGGAATTCGCCAAAATCCAACCTTAGCCAATTCAAGCCTAATTCTTCACGGGACCTCCAAATTCAATTCCGATTGCGCTCCTAAGTCACAAATCATCCCCCGAAACTAGTCGAATCATCGGAAATCCATTCCGAGCCTTCTAACTCATAAGTCAACATTCGGTTGACTTTTCCAAACTAACCTTCTCATAAAGAGACTTATTGTCTCATTTCTAACCGAACTCCACCCGAATTACTTCAAATTTTCCAAACACATATAATGAAACATATAGAAGCATAAAACGGGGAAAACGGGGCGTTAACTCCCGTTACGACGGGTCGGGTCGTTACAGTTTTTTGCTAGGGCTGTTCCTGCAGTATTCTTGGGTTATTCCCTAACTCAGAAAGGGTATAAACTATTTGATCTAACTAATCGAGTAGTTTTTGTCAGCAGGGATGTTATTTTCCAGGAAGATAGTTTTCCTTTTATGCAGCAGCCAGGTGAGTCCAGTCCAAACTCAACTATTCCATTCACAGATCAAGACCATAATATACCTGTTGCTGATCCTGATGCTCTATCTCCAACAACCACTTTTCCAAATGATGACCCTTCAGTTGATGTAATGTCCATAGATCCATCACCTCCAAATATACAGGAGGACATGTCACTCAATAGCCCTATGGATACTGTTTCTCCTACATCGCATAGTATGAATTCTCCTACACTATCTACTGTTGATACTGTTATGTACTCACCAGCAGCATTACCTCAACATGAAAACAATTTTGAACCTCGAAGAAGCTCCAGAACTTCTAGACCTCCTATTTGGATGCAGGATTATGTAGGTCACCAAACAACTGCCTATCCTATTTCCAACTCTGTCAGTTATCTCCATTTGAAACCTCACTATTCAAAATGCTTAGCCACCTACTCTTCTGAAACAGAACCAAAAACTTTTGTTGAATCTGCTAGGGACCCTAAGTGGGTTGAAGCCATGCAACAAGAAATCCAAGCATTGGAAGACAATCAAACCTGGAGCTTAGTGCCATTACCATCTGGGAAGCAACCTATAGGGTGAAAATGGGTATTTAAAATTAAGTATCTTGCTTCAGGAGAGATTGAGAGATACAAAGCTCGACTTGTGGCAAAGGGCTACACACAGAAGGAGGGCCTTGACTACACTGATACTTTCTCACTTGTTGCTAAAATGGTGACAGTCAGATCAGTTGTGGCAATAGCAGCTTCCTCTGGTTGGCCCCTCTATCAGATGGATGTTCATAATGCCTTCTTGGAAGGTGACTTAGTTGAAGAAGTTTATATGCTTGTCCCTCCTGGTTTCTCTAAGGGTATTGCCAAGCAGGGGGAGTATGTATGCAGGCTGCATAAATCCTTATATGGGCTTAAACAAGCATCTCGACAGTGGAATATCAAGCTGTCTGAGGCACTACAGACCATGGGGTTCTCTCAAAGCCACTATGATCATTCTCTATTTACTAAGAAAACTGACACATCTCTTGTTCTAGTGCTCATTTATGTGGATGATTTGATAGTGACTGGGAACAGCATTACAGAAATTAGCAGGACAAGAGTCGAGCTGCAGTAGTGCTTTAAAATGAAGGACCTTGGAGAACTGAAATTCTTCCTTGGGATTGAATTTGCTCTATCTGAAAAGGGGATATACATGAGCCAGCATAAATATGCATTGGAGCTGAACTCAGAACTTGGATTAGCTGGAACCAAACCTTCTAGCACGCCATTAGAAGTAAACCAGAAATTGACCTCTGTAGATTTTGACAAGTTAACTTCTTCTTATGCCAATATTCAAGACCCTCTCTTGAAGGATGCTGGTGAATATCAAAGACTGGTGGGAAGACTATTGTACTTGACAATGACTAGGCCGGATATATCATTTGCGGTACAAACGTTGAGTCAGCACATGCATTCTCCCAAACAATCTCATTTAGATGCAGCAATGAGAGTTGTCAAATATATTAAAGATGCCCCAGGGCAGGGACTTTTGTTACCATCTTCAGGAGATGGGACACTAAAGGCATACTGTGATGCTAATTGGGGAGCCTGCCTCCAAACTAGAAGATCAGTCACTGGCTACTGTGTATTCTTTGGCAATGCCTTGATTTCTTGGAAATCAAAGAAGCAAGACACAGTGGCAAGAAGTTCAGCTGAAGCTGAGTTTAGAAGCATGGCTTCTACTGCAGCAGAAATTGTGTGGCTCATTGGTTTACTTGGTGAATTGGATGTGAAGGTACAACTGCCTGTGGCTCTATACTGTGATAGCAAGGCAGCAATCCAAATCGCAGCAAATCCTATCTTTCATGAACGTATGAAGCATATTGATATCGGCCACTTTATTAGAGAGAAGATAAAAGCTGGTATTATCAAGACAACACATGTGAATACTAAGGAGCAAATAGCAGACATATTGACTAAGGGTCTGGGAAGAACACAGCACCAGTACTTACTTTGCAAGCTTGGAGTGAAGAACATTTTTCTACTCTCCAGCTTGAGGGGGAGTATTGAGCCAGGGTAGTACTTTGTATGGAAAGAAACTTTAGGGGTTAAAGTGTGCAAGTTAGAAGTTAGTACCTAACTTAACTATTAGAGTTGGTTAATATCTGTATATAGTAAATGAGTAGAGATTAGTTCCGTAAGTGATTGTCTTTCTTCTCCAATCGTGAATAACAATGGAGGTTCTGCAATTATTCTTCTCTCTCAATCACCCATGCATGGCTACCTTCTTTGAAATCTGATACACTCCTAGAAATGCAACCTTTTCTGAGCCCTACGTAAACACAAAATACTTCGTGCACCGAACTACTCTTTTGCCCAGTAATAGAGCATGTAAAGGAAAAATAGCAGTATCGCACATGAAAATGCAATTATAATGCTCCGAATTTCCCTTTTGTTATTTGGTTTTTTTTAAAAAAAAAAAATTATTTCGGTGCTAATAATTGAAAGCATGTACATCCTTGTGATTTCTTCATAATTCTCTTCTATCGCCATATTTACATCCTTCAAAAAATATTTCAGGTTCAGCTGGAAAGTTTCACGGTTTTTCAATGGACAAACATAAATGCACTATTTTCATGTTCAAAACTGCTTTAGGTTGCATCTATGTAATATATTAATATATAATATATTGTTTACCCTTATAACAGATAACAATTAAATTTATACGCGGTTTAAAGGTTATGTGGTTTAATTTAACACAAATGACCGAAGAACAGTAAAATGATTGAATTCAAATGAAATGATTGAAATCAAACCGTATTGTCATAGTAAATAAGCCTTATATCTAACTTTAGTGCCAATGGCCAGTCTCGATTGAGCCTTCGAGATAGTGCTCCAATTCCAATAAACGGATGAACCACTGAAGAACCTTTAAACAATTGCTAAAAGCCAAAGTAAATTTTATTGTCTTGATATGTGTGCCAGTAATAGTGACCAAAAAATGAAAAGGTTATCCTCTTTATATTGTAGAGGAATTTTAATCCTAATACAAGTCTAAATAAGGTAAAAAAATCTTTTCCTTCCTTTTCTCTTACAAAAACACGATCTACAACCAATACCGAGCGTGATCCACGCCGCAATATCCGGCTGATGGCGGATATTTCAACTCTTCGTTGGTCTTCTTTAATCGTTTTTCCCTTTACCCTCAGTTCTTCGTATTGCTCGAACTGGAGTCTCTCCGGGTTTAGCCATGCTCGATTCCCGACGTATCATTCGTCTGCTCCAGGTTCTGATCTACGGGCACCCTCGGTCTCACTCGAGCTAGTAGCAAGTAACGTTACTCCTCGCTTCTCGATGGGAAGTCGGGGGTAACTCTATCCCTAATTTCACCCATACACAGATAGTCCCCTCACTTCTTAGAGAGTAGATTATAGAAGCGACGAGAAGTGACAAGTTGACCCCGGCTCCTTCTCTCGCACACCATGAGCAAGTTGACGAACCAGAACCTCCCATCAGTCACGTCGCTCTGATTTTGGATACGCTTCAGTCGTCGGTTAATCACCCCCAGTATCTACCGAATTCGAAACGTCATGCATTCATTACCCTTTCCCTATAAAAGTTCTGATTTCCTATTTTCACTTTTTTACTTTCTGATTTTAAACTTCCTTAAGTTACCTTGAGCCTTTTATATCCTCATCCGTTCATCAATCCTTCAGATCTTCATAACTTGTTCTTCATATCCTCACAGTTCATCTTCAAACCTTCATACCTTACCTTTAAACCTTAAAACCAAATCTTCATATCTAGTTTTCAAATCTTCATATACTTAGATAGAAATAGTGAAGACCTTAAAATCGGTACCCCCAAAAAGTGCACCGACGACTTTTTTCTCGCCCACCGGCACCGAGGCAGTGCCTCCTGTGGTAGCCCCGGGACCTCCCCTTGTAGATTTCATCCCCGGCAGCTGCTTCATAGATAATGACTTTAAAATCGAGAAAGTGATAGTAGCCTATATTATGCGATATAGATGCTATTTATGCTCGAAGTTAACCATACTTTATTGATGATTTAAGTGCTAAATGATAACAAAATGCTCTAATTGAGGTTTTTGTGCTTTGCAGGAACTACTCCGAGTTAGGAGGAGGACATAGAGTGTTTTGGGGTCAAAAAATGAAGATACAAGGCCAATCGAGAAGAGCCCGGATGAAAAGGAGTAAGAAAAGGCGAAGAAAAACTGGGCAACAGTCCACCGTAACCGCGGTCGGACCCCGGCTGGAACGCGGTGAAAGAAAGCGGAAAATAGAATAGCTGTAAATCACCGCGTTCGCGCCGCGGTTGTCCCGCGATCGCGGTCAATCTGGAGGAAGCCAAGAAGTTTAAGGGCTAAAGTGTAAAATGTGGGAAACTTATCCTAACCCTATATAAACTCAACAAACTCGCCCAAGTCAAGGTTAAGCTTGTTTTTAGACTCAAATGGAGGCAAGAACAAGTGTGAGAAGATCAAGGCACCATTAGAGTTTTTCATTCTTCTTCTTGTTATCGTTATTTTGTGAACTATGAATTATTTTATGTTTTTATCTTCTTTTTGCATGAGTAGATAAACATTCAATCTAGAGTTGATGGGACCAATTGTTAGATGAAGTTTTGACTCAATTTCGTTATAATCGAGCCGGGTTTATTATATGATTGTTCAACTATGTTTTGTATGGTGATTAATTGAATGGGCCCTCGATTAATCGTGTCTAATTGCTTGTGTTGCTTGAGAAAGAATACTAGGTTAGATTGTTGTTGAACAACACCACTTTTGGGTAATTGAAGAGATTCATTAGTTGAATTTAAAAGTGGGGTTAGAGATAATGAAACTTTGGTGGGATAATTCAGAGCTGCATAAATTATCAGCTAGAGTAGTTCGAGAGAATGCTCTATTAAATTGTAGTAGTTGATCGAGAGATAATTGCGGTAACCCATAGCTCACAATCCTCATAGAGTATCACGGCGAGATTATAGCAAAAGAGTTAAGAATTAAGCTAGCAATTGGAAAAATCAATACCCTAGATCTTTTTACCATTGAATTATCTTTAATTTAGAATATTGTTAGTTTTAATATCCTTTTACATTAGTTAAACAAATCTAGTTGTTTATTGATAAAAATTTTGCATATGGAAATTGGTGAACTTGTACTAGCATCACTAAGAGTTGTAATAGATAGGTTAGTCCCCTGAGGATTCGACTCGGACTTGAAAAATCGAATTATATTTGCAACGATCGCTTTGTCTTTTATAAGTCATAGTTGGGCGTGATCAAATTTTGGCGCCGTTGCCGGGGAACTAATGGTGTTATTTATTGCAACTCAAAAGTAGTGCTAGAATTATTAGTTTAGATCAATTTCCTACGGTGTTAAATAGTTTTTCATTGAAAGTCTCACGTTTGAACTCTTGTGTGATTCAGGTGTATGCCTAGAAATTCTTCGAGGACTAGTGAACTGCTTGAAGGACTCTCAGACCCCGAGAAAACATTCAGGGCATTAAACCGTGCCAACAAGATGAACAAACAATCAAACACACCAACTCGCAACTGAAATGGACAACAACAACAGGGGAAACATCAATGTTCCGAACGAAGCAATGGTGGCACCTCTTGTGCCAGAAGCTGCACTTTATGATTGGGCATAGCCAACAGCTGACAACCTGGCCACCGCCATTGCTGTGCCCCAAATACAAGCGGAGACATTCCAGATCACCAACAACATGCTGCATCTTTTGCAGAATAAGGGATTGTTCTCTGGGTCACACATTAAAGACCCTCAACAACACCTGAAAAATTTTCTGTCAATTTGTGTGACCCAAAGGCAGCCAAATGTGACCCCAGAAGCCATCAAGTTGTTACTCTTCTCGTTCTCGGTGACTGGGGAAGCTCAGACTTGGCTTAATCCGCTCCCAATAAATTCCATTGCCACTTGGGAGGAATTAGTCAAGCAGTTCATGAACAAGTTTTACCCGCCCAACAAGACTGCAAGACAGATTGATGAGATATTGCAGTTCAAGCAGCAGCCCACTGAGACCTTGCAGGAAACTTGGGAAAGATTCAAAGGGATGCTAGTGAAGTGTCCCCACCATGGTATTTCAGGCCAGATGCTCGGCCAGAGATTCTACATGGGATTAGCAGACAATTTAAAGGCCAATGTAGATGCTTCAGCTGGGGGTGCATTCCTGAGCAAGACATTCACAGAGTGTAAAATCCTTCTTGACAAGATAGCCCAGAATTCGGGATGGATGACGAGAGGTACGACCCTATCACCAATAGTGCATTCAGTTCCTCTTGACCCAAATAATTCACATGTAGAGAACATAGCCATACTCATGACTCAGATGAGTATACTAACAAAGAAGATTGATGAGATGGGTACAAAGCAAGTGCATATAGTTGACACAATAAATGGAGGAGTGTGTACACCTTGCATTAATCAGTCTTATGTATGTTCATGGAGTGGAGAAGGAGACAACCAAGGGTTAAGAGAAGACATGAATTATGTCAACAATTTTGGGGGTTAGAGGCAAGGAGGACAACAATGGGCACCAGCACCCAACCAGCAGTACAGACCGAACATGCCACAACCTAGAGGTATGCGACCCCAAGGCCAAATGGTGCCATATCAGAGACAACAGGGTTATGAACAGCAGCACCAGAAACAGTTGACATATCAGCCACCTCATCAGCAACAGGACAGCAACATGGTAGAAATCAGGGGTATGCTGCAACAGCTCATTCCAACAAATGGTAAGATACAGGAAAAGTTGGCAGCGCATGACTCAGCAATTAAGGGTATTGAAACTCAACTGGGGCAGCTGTCCATGGCCTTGAATAACCGCCCCCAGGGAACATTGCCAGCCGACACAAACATTAACCCCAAGGAGCAAAACGCGAATCAGCTAATGGCAGTTGGAGAAGTATGGAGTTCGCCACAAGGTAGCCTCACCCTACCACCCACAAACAAGCGGGCAGGTGGAAGTGTCCAATAGGGAAATCATAAGTGTCCTCCCAAAAACAGTGAATGCAACAAGAACTGATTGGGCAAGGAAG